AGGCAACGGCAGCCTGACTGCTATTAGGTATCATCAAGAAATCCTTGGGCCCATTGTCAGACCCTGCTCTGTTGCTGTACATCCTGGCTCCTCCTGGTGCCCGTCAATGCCCAGCCTCAGCATTATTATTAGCCTCACGCAGCATCTCAGTGATGCCGTGGACCAAGCATGTCTTAACATTACAAGCATGCATACAAGCACATGGGCGCTGTACAAACTAGAGATGGCACGATACCACTTTTTTATGTCAGATACTGAATCATAAATTTGGATATCTGCCGATATAGATATAAATCTATAACGTATTTTATAAACAATAAAACGTTATTTTTCTCAAATATCTTGCTGCATGTTGTATAAGTTCATACTCAAGTTTAATAAAACAAAACAAAATTAAAGCTATTCTACTATACCTGTATGCAAAAAATATATGGGGGTTGTACAAACTACTGATACTGATACTAATACTGCATTGAAATGTCTGCAAAATGAACTAGCCTACAGCATAATTTTTTCACTTTGATTTTAAATGTGTCTTTTATTTGAGAGATACAGTGGGGCAAAAAAGTATTTAGTCAGCCACCGATTGTGCAAGTTCCCCCACTTAAAATGATGACAGAGGTCAGTAATTTGCACCAGAGGTACACTTCAACTGTGAGAGACAGAATGTGAAAAAAAAATCCATGAATCCACATGGTAGGATTTGTAAAGAATTTATTCGTAAATCAGGGTGGAAAATAAGTATTTGGTCAATAACAAAAATACAACTCAATACTTTGTAACATAACCTTTGTTGGCAATAACAGAGGTCAAACGTTTACTATAGGTCTTTACCAGGTTTGCACACACAGTAGCTGGTATTTTGGCCCATTCCTCCATGCAGATCTTCTCGAGAGCAGTGATGTTTTGGGGCTGTCGCCGAGCAACACGGACTTTCAACTCCCGCCACAGATTTTCTATGGGGTTGAGGTCTGGAGACTGGCTAGGCCACTCCAGGACTTTCAAATGCTTCTTACGGAGCCACTCCTTTGTTGCCCGGGCGGTGTGTTTTGGATCATTGTCATGTTGGAAGACCCAGCCTCGTTTCATCTTCAAAGTTCTCACTGATGGAAGGAGGTTTTGGCTCAAAATCTCACGATACATGGCCCCATTCATTCTGTCCTTAACACGGATCAGTCGTCCTGTCCCCTTGGCAGAAAAACAGCCCCATAGCATGATGTTTCCACCCCCATGCTTCACAGTAGGTATGGTGTTCTTGGGATGCAACTCAGTATTCTTCTTCCTCCAAACACGACGAGTTGAGTTTATACCAAAAAGTTCTACTTTGGTTTCATCTGACCACATGACATTCTCCCAATCCTCTGCTGTATCATCCATGTGCTCTCTGGCAAACTTCAGACGGGCCTGGACATGCACTGGCTTCAGCAGCGGAACACGTCTGGCACTGCGGGATTTGATTCCCTGCCGTTGTAGTGTGTTACTGATGGTGACCTTTGTTACTTTGGTCCCAGCTCTCTGCAGGTCATTCACCAGGTCCCCCCGTGTGGTTCTGGGATCTTTGCTCACCGTTCTCATGATCATTTTGACCCCACGGGATGAGATCTTGCGTGGAGCCCCAGATCGAGGGAGATTATCAGTGGTCTTGTATGTCTTCCATTTTCTGATGATTGCTCCCACAGTTGATTTTTTCACACCAAGCTGCTTGCCTATTGTAGATTCACTCTTCCCAGTCTGGTGCAGGTCTACAATACTTTTCCTGGTGTCCTTCGAAAGCTCTTTGGTCTTGGCCATGGCGGAGTTTGGAGTCTGACTGTTTGAGGCTGTGGACAGGTGTCTTTTATACAGATGATGAGTTCAAACAGGTGCCATTCATACAGGTAACGAGTGGGGGACAGAAAAGCTTCTTACAGAAGACGTTACAGGTCTGTGAGAGCCAGAGATTTTCCTTGTTTGAGGTGACCAAATACTTATTTTCCACCCTATTTACGAATAAATTCTTTACAAATCCTACCATGTGAATTCATGGATTTTTTTTTCACATTCTGTCTCTCACAGTTGAAGTGTACCTCTGGTGCAAATTACTGACCTCTGTCATCATTTTAAGTGGGGGAACTTGCACAATCGGTGGCTGACTAAATACTTTTTTGCCCCACTGTATACAGGAAAAAAATCCCATTGAGATGGGGCATTTTCAAATTGTTTCTTTAATGTTTTTGTGCAGTACATAAATACAAATACTAGTGTTATGTCTAAGGAATTTACAAAAATGTACATTTTTATTTTCTTTTTTTCTATTAAAATGTATTTAATATGAGTAATAATCTGCTCTATGGCAAAGAAGATGACTCTGCCAGCGGTTGTGAAAACTACACAGAGGATTGTAAGCAGCAGCCTCCACACCACCAAATTAATCTATACCAGCATATGTCAGAAATGTTCCCAGTTTAACACTGAAACACAGAAGGATATAGGACAAGGGCTTTATTGTATCTTTATCATCAGCAGGGGCAGATCTACAGAAATTTCCTAAATTCTAAAGACCTACACCCACATTTTGTAAACAATAAAGTTCTATACAACTATTTACCAAAAATGCAGGCAATGCATCTGGTTTTTTGTAACTCTATTTAAAACTACTAAAACAAAAATTAGACAACAATCAGGTGTCACAGTAAGATGCCACACAAATTATTTGTGCCAGTGCAAAAAAAATAGTTTGTCTGCCACAAGACAGAGGAGAACACCACAAGCTTAAACCCTGCAGGTCTGACAAGAGGAGGTGCAAACTTACTGTATTGCTCACTCTGTCAATGTTAACTATAGCTAGGCTCAAAGTGTTAATGCTAGCTTATTTTAATAAACAACACTGTCATATGCAAAACGTGGGTTCCACTAGGGATGGCAAGAGATTAATTTTAGGTGGGCACATGCCACCCTTGCAGATTCAACATTGATCACTAGTAATATACATCAGATTAGAGAGAGAGAAATGCAGAAAATAAAAAGCACAAAGCAAAATAAATGAATAAATAAGAAATAGAAATCTCCTTCTTTCTTCTATTTCCAAAGCATGCTTTGTTATTCCTAAAGGATTCAGTATTATCACACATTTAGCATTATGATTATATTATTATATTATTTTACATAATGGACATAATTGTCCATCATGACAACATACAAAGAAGTCATACATACTTATTCCAAGTCTGCTTCAACAAGACTCTATCACCTTTTTTCATTGACTTTACTTTAACAGTGGTTTGTAAACACAAGGTCAATATCCAAAAGGTTTTTGAGTCTTGTTAAAGCATCATATGTTCTTTTGTTTGTTTTTGTGTTATTCGGGACTTTAATGAAAGGTAAAGAGAAGAAGTCCAAGCAGCAGATGGATCATTGCCAGTCTGATAGAACAAGCATCACTTTTGGTTGTAGAGGCAGTTGTTGCAGTTGATGTAGCAGTTGTAGCTGCAGAGCTTGTAGTTGAGGCGGTGGTTGTAGTTGTAGTTGTGGTTGGTTGGTTGAGTTGTAGTTGGGGTGGTGGTTGTAGTTTGGGTAGTTGTAGTTGGTGTAGGTTGTAGTGTGGTGGTTGTAGTTGTAGTTGGGTGGTGTTGTAGTTGCGGGTGTAGTTGGGTGGTGTGTAGTTGTGGCTGGTAGTTGTAGTTGGGGTGGTGGTTGTAGTTGTAGTGGGGTGTGGTTGGAGTTGTAGTTGGGGTGGTGGTTGTTAGTTGTGGCGGTGGTTGTAGTTGTAGTGGGTGGTGTGTGTGTGCGGTGGTAGTTGTAGTTGGGGTGGTGGTGTAGTTGTATTGTGGCGGTGGTTGTAGTTGGGGTGGTGGTTGTGTGTGGCTGGTTGTACTTGTAGTTGGGGTGGTGGTTGTAGTTGTAGTTGGGGTGGTTGTAGTTTGCGTAGTTGTAGTTGGGGTGGTTGGTTGTAGTTGTTGCGGTATTGTAGTGTGTGGTGGTTTGTAGTTGTAGTTGGGGATGGTGGTTGTAGTTTGTGGGTGGTGGTTGTAGTGTAGTTGGGGTGGTGTTGTAGTTGTAGGGGGTGGTGTTGTAGTTGTAGTTGGGGTGGTGTGTTGTAGTTGGGGTGGTTGGTTGTAGTGGTGTGTTGTGGTGTGTAGTGTTTGGGTGGTGGTTGTAGTTGTAGTTGGGGTGTGGTTGGTAGTTGTAGTTGGGGTGGTGGTTGTAGTTGTAGTTGGGGTGGTTGTAGTTGTTGGCAGTGGTTGTAGTTGTAGTTGGGGTGTGTGTTGTGTTGGGTGGGTGGTGTTGTAGTTGTGGGTGGTTGTAGTTGTAGTTGGGGTGGTAGTTGTAGTTGGGTGGTGGTGGTTGTTGTAGTTGTAGTTGGGGCAGCAGTTGTAGTTGGTGCTGCAGAACAGGCAACACCTGATACTGTACCAACGCTCTGCATGAAAGGTAGAGAACCCAGGCTTGAAGCAGCTGCACACAGGTTTGCAGATGCGCAGCCGTAACCTGGATACGTGCTGGTGCCGCTTTTGACTGCAGATCAAAAAGAAGAATTTCAGGATATGTTTTAAATTGGCTACTTTCCAGGAAGCTTAATATATTTCATGCAAAAAACAACTTAACAGCTTTTTAAAAAGTTTATGTGTTTGTCTGACTTCCAGGCTTGAAATTTAAAATCTTATCACAGTAACTTTCACACCCAAGGATAACATTTAGTATAAATTAGGGTAAAAGTTTCCGCTCTTTTATATGTCAGATGTATCACAAAAGAATTTGAAATCATCTTTGATTGAAAACCGATGACACAACTGATACAACATAAAGACTCACTGGTTGATTGGAAGCATTGGTTCTCCACTCCCTGACACTGTAATGTGGAGGAGCACTGACCAGTGGAAGGGTCACAAAAGTTGCATACTCCACCATTATTTGACTGAGAAGCAGGATCTGAAACACAAAAGGAGGCCATTTCATTTCAGAACAGAGACTCTTACAACATCAGATTATTGTTTTTATTTCTTTATATTATTCTTTTGTCATCAATGAGCAACGTAGTATTTAACTTACTTGGTAGAGTTGCTGAGTTGCAGTTATCTGTGTTGCAGCATTGAGCAGAAGCCAGAGCACTTTGAAAACCCAGGTCGACTGAAAATGTCTGAGAGGTTACGGCTGGACACAGGGAGGAAGATGCACATGCCTTGTAGATTTGTGTGACCGGAGTTCCAGATGAAGTAGCTACAAATTCAAAGTGCAGTTTGTTAATGTTGATGGAACACAAATAGCTTCACAGGGGATGTAATTTGGTGAAAATATGAAATATGATATGAAGAAAACATTACCTAGAATGGTAGCTGTAACACACATTGGTTCCGATGAGGAGCATGTAAGTAGTGCTGTGCTTGAACATGCTGAATTTGTGCAGGTTTGGCACTGGAGGGCTCCAGCTGCAATCAGGAGAGAAACACAAAAATGATCATCACAATTTAAATATATAGCAAATATGAGATGTTCTGAAAGTTCATATTGGGTTACAGCAGGTTACAGTCGAGTCAATACTACTCACTAACTTTGGAAAAAAATTACAATGTAAGATTTAAATAAAAGATTTAAAGCTTTAAATTAGACTCTCTTCTACCTGCAGGTGAAATGAGTGTAGTTACCTGTGGTGGAGAGTGCCCAGAGAAGAAACAGAGAAAACAGCAGCTTCATTGTGATGAACAGGTCAGTTCTGCAGATTAGTTTCGCCTGGACTGTGATACTGAAGCTGAGGAGCAGCACTGCACTTTATATACTGAACAGGTGACATCAGGTTTGGGTGTGTTTACATTTTTACAGCATGATCATTCATACATTCAACTCTTCTTTCGTCAAATCACTATGTCAGAGCACCTTACCACACCTTCTCTTCAATTCAACAACAAGTATTCGTGCATCACAAAAAACACAGGAATTCTTTTTTACATTATTAAGTTTTTAACAAATGAGAATGACCTTGCGTCTCGTGTCATTAAGCCATCATCTTTAATTTTGACGTTGAAACCATAATTGACTTTTTGTTCATACAGTTCAATTTATTTATAACAGCTGACACTTCCGAATAAAATCAGGACCAAATGTTATAGAAACAATCCTGGAATAACTTTTCTACAACTGATGAAGATCAAGCCTAAATGCTTTACATCAAGTATTGTCCTCTACATATATATTACTAATGATAAATGTTGTCTAAATAGATCAGGGGTTATCAACTACATTTGTCCAAGGACCAGAATTTTATCAGCACACACTGTGAGGACCAGATGCTCTCATAAAGTAACTAAAGTGACATAAACATAACATCAAGTAACTCACATTACCTGTACTGTAGTAAGCCACTAGAGAGCGAATGCAATATTTTAGGCTTCATATTTGTGAGGCTAATAATGCATGCAGTGCTTTAGTTTGTGGAGTTGGCCTGAATATATTACATGAATGAAAAAATGTCATTCCTCAAGAGCCTTAAGTGTTGTGCAATTTGATACAATTTCATACAAAAGTTGAAATTTCTTAGGTCTTGAACAGCAGAAATTTGGTTATCTTGTCAGAGGTGTTTGTTGCAAAACAAAATCAATTTTAAAAAGGGGACAGCCACACTGTACATACAATAGACTGGTGCATAAAGCATCTACGCATAACAAGCAAATAAGGCTGAAAATAGTGATGGGAAACAGCTCTTGAAGCACACTGGAAGATGGAGCCGTGCGGGAAGCGTTGGTTCAGGTGGACGTTTGGAAGCAAGAGAGCAAAGATAAAACAAAATTCATCCTAATGTTTTTCAAACTTGAAGAATAATTGTGGTCTTTTGCTGCTGTTTGGTAAATTTTGCTTGGAGCCTGCCAAAACTTGCAGTTTTGGAATCTGTGCTTTCTGAGTGAACTCTGGCGATTCTGTGGAAACAGGCAGAAGTGTTTAACAGGTTAAGTAGAAAGTTAATGCAGAAAACCATAGCTTTAATGAAGAATGGACTGATACGTATGTACTCATAGTGCAAACTTTTAGAAATGCTGTACCTGGGTGCCTCATTTGCAAACAAAGAGTCGCGGTTGCTAAATAATAATGTAGTTTATAAAGATAGGCTAACAAGTCCTCTGAAGACAGAGAAATCATGGGACAAAAGAGGGACAAAACGATCCTACAGAGGTCAAGATAAAACAAAAGAAAGAAGTCCAAAAAGAACGATTAATTTGCTAACAAATGTTGTGTTTTTAATCTCAAAATCAACATATCTGAAAAAGACAGTGATCATTGTAGATGTCTATTTAATCAGCTTATACTCCATAACAGTTTTCATTCCTACTTGAATGCCAGTTGTTGACCATTTCAATATGAAAACTTGATTTTACTCACTAACACAGTATAAACAGTGTGGTGTGAAATCTGTTTGATTTTATGTGTAAGTTGAAAGAAAATCATCAGATGTTCCTTGATGCAAGAACTAACAGTCATGACTGGGAGGTAACTGTTTGAATAAAATATAAAACATGTTAATCACTCTTTATTTTCTTGCCCCACACCTGCTTCATTCTTTCCTGTAGATCTGGTTTGTTGAGAAAGTGACGGCTTTGTGATCAATGCTGTAAAACCTGCTGCAGGTGTGGCAGCTGCCTTACCCGATCAAGATCAATACTTGAACCGTGGAGCAACTTTACTTTTACTCAGCTACTGTATTGAAATGTCTTTTAGCTCAAACATTGATTTTCTGGTTTATGCTTTGATGAAAGATTTTTAATTTTGTGATTATGCTTAGTTGTAGCTTCATTTAAAGGAAGAAGAGCTTGTGAATTGGAGCCAACACAGGAAGAGAGATTGAAGCCATATGTGTAGAGGAATGCGGTGACATACGAGACAAAATGGCGCTCCCCCTCTCTTTCTATCCTTTTATGGGAATGTCTGAATTCTATACATACAAAGTTATCTCCTGTTCCAGCTGACAAGCGAACAGTCTCTCCTTTTATGGAAATGTTTTTGCCACTCCTACTTCCCTGAAAGCTCGTTTAAGTATAAATAAAGAGAGTTCTGAAAGCCCTGGGCGGTCTTTCCTCTCTCTCAAATCTGTCCTGCACACATTGCTGCAGGATGGATCGGGCGATGAGGGGGGGATTGTCCATGTGTGCACATGTATAAGATATCTTGAGTCTGAGTTCCTTTGCCTTCTAAAATTTTCTCTTCACATGCTTCTATGCTTTGTACATTTTGCTCTTACACGCTTCAAACAGCCAAGAAATCATCTAAACCTCATGATCTACCATCTCAAATGTTTTCAAAAACCATCATGAA